CTGGAAACAGTGTTCAATCAAAACAGAAATTCCTGCACTTGGGGAGTTTGTCTTGGCTTAAGTTCTGATAGTGTGAATTGGGCAAAAATGATCATGAAGGAAAGAGAAGAGAAAAGAAACAAGTTTTGGAATTTGCATGGAGATGACGAGATATCATCTCTGGCAATGAGTCCACAGAGAAAGGGCATTTCACCTTGGCTTGTGTGAGAAGCAAAGGGTTTGGATTGATGACTGGCTCATGCCTCTTTGCCTGGATTCTTTTGTCTTGTGACTGAGAAATCTTTGTTGAACATTGGCTAACAAGCCAGTATACGGTAGTGCTTGTGCACTGCTTGCAACTTCATTTTTACAGGATTGTTCCAGGCAGTATCAGGAGACATTTGTGGTATAAGCCTGGCCCTCAGTGGTCAGATGCATTGAGCAGGTCACAATTGCTAACTTTAATATATACCTGAAGAGCAAACAGACAGGACCTCAGTTTAAAGTCTCATCTGGAGTTCAGCACATCCAACAACACAACACTCCCTTGGCAAGGTAGTAGTCTCAGGCTGTACTATGAGCTGAAATCCTGAAGTGAGTTTAAACCCACAACCTTTTGTCCCAGATGTGAGAGCATTACCGTCTTAGCCAAATGAATGTATATCAAATTGTATCCTTAAGGACAAACTGTCTTTAATCTATTGGAGCGGTGGAATATCATCCCCAAATCAGACTAGGTTCAAGACATTTTGTATTTAATTTTGATGCTCGCTTTATGATGCTTTCTTTCACAGCATACTTCTCTGGTAAAAGCAAACCATAAAAATGGCAACATATTGGGTTACAAATGTGATATTCAAAATGTGGAACTTGGAAGAGTTATTTGTGACTTCCAGGTTGTGATTGTGACTGGCATTTTACTTTCAGGCCTTTTCTTGATCAAGAAACTTTCGGAGAAGTCCTTGGAATATAAAACATCAGCTGTAGAACACACTTTCCAATTTCAGGATTGATCGTGCTTTTTAAAGTAAATCTGTTATCACATTGAAAAAAGAAGTTTGTTTCTCCCAGTGTCTTGGCCAACAATCCCCAGATGAAATTGTTCATTCACTTTTCGGCTGTTTGTGGGGCATTGCGGTGTGGAAATTGGTTCCTGTATTCACCTACAAAATACACAGTCACTATACTTTACTATATATCCTGTAAAGCCCTTGAAACTATCCTCCTGATATGAAAGGTGCTATATCAAGTGCAGAGATTACTATATTATATATCTAGTTGCAATTATTGCAGCGACTTCCAGTGTGCCAATGCTGCATTTTCAATCCCACTTCATCCATTTGAAGGTTAATCTATTAATGAGAAATTCACAATTGGAGCTATTTACATTTAAGCAATACTGTCAATTACATTGACAGCTAGATTGAATTTAGTCAACAAAATAAGGGATTATAATGGATGCTGAATGTAGAGTGGTGGGTGCAATTTATATACCACAAGAGTTCTGAACTGCAAACTCATCACAAGTTGTGATCAATATCATAACATAGGCATACATTGTATCCCACTGTTCCTTCTCGTGTATTTTACTGGATAAATAATTGAAATTATATGTCAACCCTATGATTTTCTGATTCCAGCTCACGTTGATTCTTAAATGATGCCAGTGTCTTTGCCTCAAGTATGACTCTCTATTCCAGTGTTTGCTTATCCTCTGTATAAAGAAATACTTCCTGATGTTTGGCTGAAATTGCCCATCACAACTCTGACACAATGCTCTCTTGCCCTGAATTTACATTCTCCATCTCATTAAACAGCTGATATATCTCTGAGATCCCCTCTTGAGACATCTTTTTTTCAAGATTGAAGAACCTCATCCCTTCAACGCTGGGGGGATCATCCTTGTGGTTCTCATCTGCATTATTTCTAGAGCCTGATTGCCCTCCCACCCCATCCTTAAGCTCCTCCGACCAGAACTGTATAGAAGGAATTGATATAAATTTTAATTTAAATCGGAACTGAAGTGATTCACTCTGGCTTGGTTCCATTCAAATGTCAGCTTTGAATCAGGTCATGGCTTTTTTCGCAAAATGTTGTGAACCCTTCATTATAATATAATTTTCATGAAATATAAAAGCTATTTTGTGTAGGTGGTGGCCTGTTTTATTCTGGATTGACTCGCTGCTTTATTTTTGCATCATTGGAAGATGGATCAGTTAGTGACTTTGATGTGGAATTTCTCAGCATGGTGTCCCCATGAATCGAGAATTTCTAGTCACTAGAATCTGCAGCAAAATCAAAATTCTGACCATTCACTTCCATTCATCCCGGTTCTTCGGTGAGTGAACAACATTTCCTCACAGAATTACTTGTTGGAATCCCAAACTAGCAGGTAGGCAAATACGTCGACTTGGAATTTTGCTTCACAATCCTATGTATAAAGCTTTCCTGTTTCCCTCTATTTACACGCAGGCCAGAAATCTGCCTTTTTAAGCAGCAAAGTAAACCGTGGAATGTTATAATTTTAGCGCCATAGGACGACCAGAAAAGAAACGATTGCAGGCTTCTAGAATTCCTCGATTCATCAATGACTGGATTCATTTCAGTCTGTGTGGGCTCTATCTGTGTGCAAGAATGTGTCCGGGGATCGGGAGAATATGGGCAAGTCCAGAGTGTAAATGTTGCACTAGGGTAAATATTTTGTGATCGCAACATTTTTCGGAAATACACTGTTTACATACAGGAAGACTTCAACGTGCCCTACATGGCGCCAAGCTGCTCTCAGTTTATTTTACCCACATGTTGTTGAACAGTTCGGGCAAGAGTCAGCAGAGTTTCGCAAATTATATTCTTTGTTAACTTTTTGTGGATTCCTCCAGAGACCTGGGAGCGTCCTTTTTATCACCACTGTATGAACAGTATTGAAGTGGAAGATGCGATTTTTGCTCCACGTGTATATTTTTTGATGTCCTGACACAGTGATGTAACAAGGCCCCAGGGAGCCCTGGTTCAAGAATATGTTAGGGGCCCCATTTCCAAAATCTAAAATTTTGTGACGGAGCCTCTGAATTAAAAAAAAATCTGCCGGTACACTGTACCGATGTGTACTCACCCACCTCGATCCCAAGAGACAGGTACGTATTTCCGAAACAGCTCAAATATTTTGTTGTGTGGGTGAGGGAGGGAACGAGGTATGTTTCCACTCCCACAACATTCCGCCATAACATGGGCCCTGGCGTGACTGCACCACTTGCACTATTGCAGTTACTCCACTATATTCACATATATTTAGACAGGATGCTTAGCAAACAGGAAGACAAAATAATTTTACACTGTAATGATTCTGGTTCCCTAACAAGGTTCTTTTTGAATTGTTTTCACTACGAAATGTCACTTTTGATTGACTGACTGACTGACTGACAGAAAGAAAGAAATACAGTGTATAACAAGCAGGTTATTGTAGATATTAATAGAATGAAGAACTGTTTTTACTTAGAATTACATATAGCATTACAGAACAGAACAGGCCTTTTGGCCCAACTGATGCATGCAGGTGTTTATTCATCACACGAGCCTCCACCCCACCAAATCCCCTCTGACATATCCATCTATTCCCTTTTCCCTCATGTATTGCATGTAAGTTAATAGTACAGCTCTCTATAGAATGAACTCACTTATATCACAAGCAGGTTAATAATAGAAGTAGAGATAGAAAGAAATAGTTCATGCTACACTAGATTAATGATGTCGATCTTTGTTTACTCAGTTTTCATCAGAAAGAGGCTGATAGATTTGTGGAATTAATAAATAACTAATATATAGAATCATAGAAATTATAACACCAAAGGAGGTTATTCGGTCCATTGAGTCACTGTTGTTGCCAAAAACTTTACTGGAGTTAACTGCAGTACCTCTAATTCCTTTTTTCCTGCCCGCCCCATATGTATAATTTGATATCATTAATTATTTAATTAACTGGGTTAATTATTAAAAAACACAATTTTCTTTATTTTCTATGTTACAGTGGAATTTCTATTATAAAAAACATAGTGAAGGAGATTGCTATTTTTAGTGGTAAGCATACACTGTACCCCAATGATTTATTACCTTGGCTTAGGATTGGCAGAACTCCACGACTGAGGATACTTAGTGGCCTTTGGGAGCACAGGGGGAAATTGGTGACTCCTTATTTGGCACTGCCACATAGTTGAGTTTAAGTTTAATATCTCTGATCTACCAATTATGCAAAGTTTGTCTAAATCTTTGGTTAAGCTGCAATGCATCCAGTTCTGGGCATCTCATTTCAGGAAAGATGTTGGAGCCTTGGAGGGGTTGCAGAGGAGGTGGCACAGCATTCAAGGTGGATTAGCAGTGCAATGACATTGAAACAACAGCATACTGTCTGAAAGCACCAGATGTTATCCTCTCTGTTACTGAGCTGCCTCTGCGAGTGAACTGCTGTCATGCCAGGGTGTCCCAACATGCACCACCCAGGGGATAGCTCCATTGATATTGGCATGATACCTCGGAGTTGGTTGGCCACTTGACCATGGGGAGCACATAAGCGTGGACCAGACTTCCCAGGAGGAAAACTCCCCAGAAGCGCCTGATAATTTCACAAAATAATTATAAAACTTTACCATCATTTGTGGTTAGTGGGGGATGGGGCAGATGTGGGAATAATCATCACAAGTGAGAATTATCACTTCACATATTGGGTTTTTGACTCCAGGATCACAGATTTCACATTTTAAAGGAAAATTGATAATAAAATGGAAACTTGAGAAAATGGTGGAAGTACTGTACATATGGTATGAGATATATGTGTAACAGCTTTGTAAATCTCCATAAAATTATCAGTGGGAAATAATGAACCAAATATTCGCGAAATACAGTGTCAGGTTTGTTTTTATGCCACCTATTTAAGGCTTAGCGATGCTAAATGTAATGTTGCATATTTTAATATTTAAACGGCTTGTTAAAAAACATGCAGTAAATCTCCTCTTTTCTTATTCCCACAGGTTGCATGTACGAAAAGGGTCCCAGACATTTCTATGATGACACCTGCGTTGTTCCTGAAAAGTTTGACTGTAAGTGGATCTGTTTTTCTTGTTTTAATAGCTCAAGATTTGGCAAAAAGTGTCAGAATGAGTCATACAGGTTTACAAGATTCCAGGTTCAAACCCTGGTCATTGTTGGCAGTCGAGACATCACAATCGGCTCATGCCCCAGGCAAGGGAGCAGTCAAACCAGCCTATGCTACTGATAATCATGGAGTGCCCCCTGTTGAAAAGTGTGCATGTCCAGAAGTTGGGTGAGAATCATACATGGTTCCACTGTAATGTTTCTTTTTTCTACCCCCCTCACTATTGAATATATCTTCCCAACACTTGCTAAGCTAAGCTCAAAGTTGAAGAATGATTACTTAACAAAATCCGGGGAGCTGTTGATGTCAGTGAAACGTCAGCACTTGTTAGCGGCTTCAAGAGAAAAATGCAGAAAACTAAAGGTGGTGAAAACAAAAGATAAAGAATGTGAATGGGATTTACAATAGGAATGAGCATTATTCTATCCCTCCTCCAGACCTATCAGATAGATTTTAAATCTTCACGACTTTCTTGAGGTTCTTGAATGTTTCAATCAATCTTTCAAGGTCTATCTCAAGACCTACACTGTATTTTCAATTACCTTTTCCCCTTCCCACCCATCTTGGCTCCCATCCCTGCATGGATGCCTAGCTAGTACTGTTAATTACTTTGGGACGTCTTTCTGATATGAAAGGCACTATATAAATGTAAATGTATATTGTTTTGATTGAAATAAATCAAAAGTAAAAATAAAATTGCATTTGGTTTAGTGGAATCCTGTAGCTCAGTAATTAGAGCACTCAACTCACAAGTGTGAGGACCTGGATTCGATTCCCAGGTAGGGCAAAACGTTAGGCAAATTTCCATACTCCATCCGCAGTTTGCCTAGTAGTAAATAGGAACCCGGTTGTTAGTCGATTGGCGAATCATTTGTCCAGGGGTAATAATCCCTTCAAAAAAATAATAATAATTTGGTCATTTAATCCATGACGGTTTGAGGGACACTGCTGTGTGCAATTGGCTGCTGCATTTTGCCCATAAAATATATAGTCAATTCACTTTACAGCATAGTTCTGTGAAGCGCTTTGAGACGTCCTCCCGACGTGAAAAGCGCTATATCAAATGCAAGGATTATTATTATTATTATTATTATAGTCAAATTCACTTTACAGCATATTCTGTGAAGCGCTTTGAGATGTCTCAGGGACGTAAGGCATCAAATCAAATGCAAGGATGATTATTGTTATATTAGTGGCTTTCGGGTCAGGAGGATGGCTGAAACTTCTTGACAGGATTTACTGTAAAATGTAGTGACTGTATAACTTATCAGCAAATGTGACAGACTATTTATGAACAGCAATATCCCACAAACAGACCTGAAGTGAATGACCAATTTTATCTGAGGTATTGTGAGCCAGGACATTGGGAGAAACTCCCTCATCAATTTGAGTAGTGTCATGGGATCTTTAACATCTAACAGAACAAGCAGCTGGGACTTTGGACCTTGGTTTAACGTTTCACTCAAAGGACAGCACCTCCAACAATGTAGCATCCATTCCCACCCCCCGGCCACCACCAATGTTGCGGAGTGTCAGCCTGGACTTTGTGAGTTCATTCTTTGAAAATAGAAGATTATAGGTCTGGAAAGAAACTACTCCAGCCTAGCTGGTCTGTCTATTTAAAAAAATCACTAATTTCTCTACATATCCTTCAATCAATTACTTCACTAAATAACTATATAATTCTCTTCTAAATTTACTGACACAATCTGCTTCCATCCAATCGCTGGAAAGTCTATTCTATACATTCACCACTTTCTGTGTAAAGCAATAATAATCATCCTTTCATTCGATATAGAGCCTTATTTTGTCTCAAAGCCCTTCACAAAATATATTGTAAAGTGACTTGAGCGAAAGTAGTAATGTGAAAAAGGTTACACAATTATTATGCCTATACTATAGAATTTACAACACAAAAGGAGGCCATTCAGACCATAAATCCTTTGCTGATGTTGCCTTCTCTACTCTTTATATTTATATAGTATTTTTCATGTCAGGAGTCCTATACTCTAATCCGAACTCCATGCGTAATAATCCTGTGTGTGAAAATATTTCTTCCTTAACTCTTTCAGTGACAATCCTCACTGAATGTCTTGCAGTTACTGATTCACCAGCCTGTTGGAATATTCTATCATTATGTCTCCTCTCAAAATCTTTCAGTATTTTAAAACTTCAGTGGGTTCTTATCTCAATCGACAATTTTTGGAGCCTGTCCTAATAATTAAAATGCCTTATCCCTGTTATCGTCTAAATTAATCTATACTCTAGAGTTTTCTATGGCTATGATGTGCTTTCTTTAACGGGATAGCCCAAAATGAACTCCTTACTCCAACTGTAGCCTAATCATTCTTGTATAAATTTAACATGAATTTGTGGCTTTTGCATTCAATTGCCTTAAGAATTCTGGAAAGAATATTCTTTTGCTGGTCTCCATTGAAGTGAGGGCTGTCATTAAAAGAAGTGCTTGGTATTTGATTATTTTTTTACCAGAGATGCTGACATTGCTGAGGATGAAACAAATGAGAAGAATATTATGTAGAAAAGCTTGCTGACCATGATTAAATCTAACCTGTCATCCTCTCCTTGATTTATGCCTATTCAGACATGTTCTTAGACGAATGCCCACCATATTGTGTTTGACCTAACAGTAAAATAATTTTTGCTTCTATGATGAATTGCACACTTGAATAATAAAAAGAGTGCGGTCTGAATTTGTTACACAGAAACCTGCGGTGTCAGTGAAATCTGGTCACTTTCCTTTTGTCGACTCAGTAATTTTATTTCAGAATTGGTTTTATTCAGGTCAGATCTATATCTCCTGATTACACTTTATTGCATGTTCGTGATTGTATAAATATTTATTAAACTTGAAATAAGTTAATTTCCTTTTGTGAATCTGCAGAATGTAAAATTGCCTCAAATCATGTTGCATCCCTGAAATCTTTTAAAGTTAAACACAAGAACCTTTTTGAAAGAAAATAATTACCGAAGTACATTTTTAAAACCATTCAGTAACAGAATGGTGCAAACAGCAGTATTGAGAACGAAATGTGCCCATGTTGTAACCCATTGCTAAACTCGGCTCCATTGGGAAATTACATTGTGTCACACTGTACATGTTCATATTAATAAAATTTCATCTGTAACCATGAAACATGTTATTTCAGTCAGGAATTTGCCATTGTTGATTTGTATTAGCACTAGTGACCCTTTGAAGCTGTCCCAAGTGGTACCCACGCTATTGTTGGTTTCAGTAGATCAGTGAGGATACATACATGTAAGGTCAAAATAATCTGTTTGTGCAGGCATTTGGACTCAGAAAGGTTGGATGGATTTGCTCCTGAAACATCCTAGGTAGCTCAATTGATTGAACACTGGATTTGGGACCAGCAGGTTCTGGATTCTAATCCTGGTGAATCTATTGACTCCTTCACCTTTTTTGAGGTGAGTGGGGTAAAGTAAGGTTGAAATACCTCAAGGAAGACTAACACGCATCTTTAAACAAAGTCATTGGTCCATTCAGTCTCTCTTCGGTCCTTCTGTCGATTTAACTTCCAGCATCTCCAAGGCCTGAATTCTGAAAGACACAAAGTTCTGCTCTTGTTATTGAACCAATGATGTATATTTTCTTTCCGCAGGTGACATAAAGCAGGAGCCAGGTATATATCGTGAAGGTCCCACTTACCAGCGCAGGGGCTCCCTCCAGCTCTGGCAATTCCTAGTGGCTCTGCTGGATGATCCAGCGAACTCGCACTTTATTGCATGGACGGGTCGTGGCATGGAGTTCAAACTCATTGAGCCGGAGGAGGTGGGTTTCTAGCATTCTTGTATTCTTGTAACTAAGAACATAAACAGTAAAGGGTAGGGGCAATGTACTTGTATCTTTCTCCCAACCAAACCAACATATTTCTTAATAAGAAATTGAATACATTATAAAATGTAATGGTTTTGTATTTTGTAGGCGAATACAGCGTACAATTTGCACCCAACAATGACCCACAAACAGCCAGGAAGTGAATGACCTATTTTTATTTGGGGAATTGTTGGCCAGGACATTGGGAGAAATTACCCCTCCTTTTTAAATAAATATCTAATGCTGTTTTGTTTGTACACAAATATTTGATTGTGCTATTTGCAAAAATGACATCAAATTCTCCTGTGGGCACTGAACAACACTGGGTTACGTGGCTCTGGACCCAATCCTTGTCGGGTCCCCCCTCTGCAGAAGTGACAGAAGGTCTGACTCCAAATAGCATTCTCTTAAATATGGTGCTTGGGAAAACCAGCTGCTTTTCGTTACGACTTAACTCGAGAGGTAAGCTTGCCTTAGGCTTTAAAACCATTTAGAAGGCTGCAGATGTGTAAATGTGATGCTTTCTCACCATTAACACCTAATGGAGTGAGACCGGGGAACAAAAAGTTTTGACTTGTCTTCAAGCACAACTAGGACACTTCCTACATTAGTGCTGCAATATTATTGAGTGTGAACTGCTGTGGGTATGGGTGTTAAAACAGGATTTTCTGCATTGCAAGAGATTGTTCCTTCAAGCCTTTTACACCAATTTCTTTGGCAAATTGATAGTTTGTCACTTGCCTTTAGCAGATGTGACTCGAGTCATATTGGGCAAGGATATTGAATTCCACTCTCATTGCAGAACATAGGCCAAAGAAAGCAGGAAAGAAGAAAATAGTTTCACTGAGAACAAGGGAACAGGAGTAGGTCATTTGGCCAAATCTGCTTCGTCATTGTACATTCATCATTACACACACTCTCCCTCCCCTCATTCAAGATATATTTCAAACTGTACTGCATTAATCATGCTTCAGCCCATCTCCCCCCACCCCTTCAGCTCCCTCCCCATCTAGCTTTGTCAAGCACTTTGAGACATTCTCCTGCAGTGAAAGACACTGTATAAATGTAAATTATATTACTGTATATCAGTTGTACGGCTGAAATTCTTTCACCGCTTTCGAACGTCCTCTCAACGTGAAAGGCGTGATACAAATGTAATTTGTTTTTTCTTGTTCTTAAAATTCTATTGCAAGGAAGTCTCAGACAGGTGGGATGTGTCACTACTACAATCCAGTGTTGTCTGTTGTCTGAGAAAAGTAAAACTAAGGATAGAAGTGTCTTGTTTACTTGCAATTTTAGCCTCATAGAAACATATGGGATACTGAGACACTGCTGTGCGCAATTGGCTGCCGCGTTTCGCCCACACATATACAGCCAATTCACTTTACAATATATTCTGTGAAGCATTTTGAGACATCTAGAAGACGTGAAAAGCACTATATCAAATGCAAGGATTATTATTTATCATATATTTATGGCTATATTGAAAAAAATTATTGAAAAGAAACTGGAAAAAAATAAATGCTACACTTAAAGGAATTGTTGCCTTTCAAGCATAGAATTTTTTTTTAAATGGCAAAACAAGTTATTTCAAAACCGAAACATTTAGTCCATCTAAAGATTTGTAAGAGCTATTAAAGGCTGTCTTAATACTGATTAAGGGAAGAATTTGTAGAGTAACATAATAATGGTAGCTAAGTAAGCAGTTAAACAGGAACAATTAGATTTCATTGGAGCTACCTTACAATTTTTACGCAAAAAAAGTGACAGAATTTCTTACATTCTTAAAAGAACATGTTGTTGATCTCTTAAAATACTGTCATTCCACTTTCGTCCTGGTGGAATCTTGCTCAAATGCCCCTTAATTCTGTTTCAAGCTGGTTGAACTTCCACTTGATCATTTATTTTATTTCAAGATATGTTCACACATAATATGTATGTGTGTGTTTTCTCAGAGTGTCTGTGTACATACCCATATTTATTATTTATCTTGTAATGGGCTGCAATGTCAGGATTCTGGTTCTCACTCTCAACTCAAACTAAATGGGTGAGCTGCACCAAACGGGAGTCCTATCCCTGTTAGAGGGTTTTCACACCAGCACCATTTCTGAATACAGATCATTCATTCGGATTCTTGACTTCCTTTTTGGCACTGGGAATAGGGTGTTTACACAGTGGCTGAATCTGAATATTTGCACCAGGCAGCTCCACTTTGTAGCCAGGCATATGGATAAAGTGGAGTGAATCAATGTGCTTATCCATGCTGCTGTGATTTTCTCTACAAACAGACAATATGATTATGTCAGAGTCTTATGATGTGTGCATATATCCCCATCACTTTTAATGCACCAGATGTTTAAAAATGAAACGTTCAGTAGGAAACACAATTAAAGTTGGCAGATTTGTATGTTATGAAAGGGCAATAGAGGCTTCAGTCTAAGCTATACGGCTTTACATTTGAGCAAAATCCTTATGCGAACTGACAAGGTAGTTTACAAGAAGATTTTGCAGTAAAGCAATTTCAGGGTAGGTTAATCAAAAGGGTCATGCTGGCTTTTGAATTTCTGCTGAACTAGAAATTAGTTTTTTTTAGGAAAATGTGTTTGATTTGTGTGAATACGCACTTTGTTCTGCTTTCATTGATTATTCAAAAGGAATAAGTAATGAGACATTAAACTAACGTCAAGTCTGGCATTTCAGGTGGACATTAAAGATCCAATGGCGTTATTTTGAAGAAAAGCAGGGAGCTTTCCTTGTATTTTTTTGGGTTACTTTGGAACCAGATCTAAGGCAACCCCGTTTAACCCACTCCCCTTCCCCTTTTTTACTAGCTGGTCTTCTTATATCCAGACCAATTCTTCCCTCATCCTGATGCACAGATTAATTTGTCATTTTATCTGACTAATGTTTGTGGGATGTTCCTGATGCAGATTAGCTCTGTAGCTCAGTGATTAGAGCACTCGCTTTGCAAGTGATACACCTGGGTTCGATTCCGGGCAGGGTGAAACCTTGGGCAAGTTTCCTTACTCCACACGCCCAATAATAATCCCTCAAAAAAAAACAATAAAGAATTGGGCATTTCAATCCATGGCTGTTTGTGGGACATGGTTGTGTGCAATTGGCTGCCGCGTTTCGCCCACAAATATACAGTCAATTCACTTTACAGTATATTCTGTGAAGCGCTTTGAGACGTCTAGAAGATGTGAGAAGCGCTATATCAAATGCAAGGATTATTATTATATTCCCGGTGTTTGGTACACAACAATCACTATACTTGAAACTAATAGATTGTGTGTATCCCTTTGACATGTTATGTGCTGCATCAAATCCAAGTAGGTTTTTTGGGGCAGTAGAATGTTACCTCACTTCTTTGAAATAAGCTTATAAATATTAGATTTAAATCTAATTTACAATACAGTACTATATAAATGTAAATACAGTTTACATTTATATAGCCCCTTTCACATTGGGAGGACATCTCAAAGTGCTTTAAGCATTGTTCTAGAGATACAGTTTGACATTGGCAGCTCTTTTTAGAGAAGGGAGAGAGGAATGGATTGAATTATGCAGCTCTAGTCAGGGAGAATAAAGCTCTGTACATAGATACTTTCTATGGAGATATCTATATTCCCTTCACCTTGCATTTCTAGTTGAAGCGCAAAGCATGGACGTGATTTACATGATAGAGATTCATTTGCGCTCAGAAATGCAATAGAGAGTCATGAATATTACATCATTGTAATATTGCTCAACTGCTTTGAACTCACTTGCAGACAACTGTTCTTTGTATAACTTCAGGTTTATTTTTAAAAATATAATAATAAATAATCCTTGGATTTGATGAAACCATTCTCATTGGGGGATGTCTCAAGGTGCTTGACAGGATTTACTGTAAAGTGTCTCAGCCTGGCTCAGTTGATACTAGTCTCACCTGTGTGTCAGAGGTTGTGGGTTTAAGTCCCATGTTGAGACTTGGAAGTCATACAGTTGATGCTGACACTCCAAAGCAGTGCAGGGTGTGTGTTTTGTTGCCGCAGGTCTCATCCTTTGGGTGAGAGGTAAAAACTCAGTTCCCATCTGCCTGTTCAGGTGGAAGTTGGAGATCCCCTAGCACTACTCAAAATGCAATGGGAGTTTTTCTCAGTGTCCTGACCAACAATCCCCCAAATAAAATTGGTCACTCACTTCATGGTTGTTTGTGGGACATTGCTGAGTGCAAATTGTCTGGTTGTCTTTCTCTCTAAAATACCCTGTCCAAAAATATACACTTTACAGTATGTCCTTTGAAGACATCTCAACAATATGATAAAGTGTTTCATCAAATGTAAGGATTATAAAGTGTAGTGACTGTGTAATTTGTAGGCAAATTGAAATTGTTTTGGTCACTTTTTTATTGTACTGTGGTAGGTGTAGTAATTAAGGTTCACCCACAAAATATACAGTGAATTCACTTTATAGTATATTCTGTGAAGCGGTTTGAGACGTCTCGAAGACTTGATAAGGTGCTATATCAAATATTATTATTTTAGTATAAGGTGGTATGCCACAGATTTCTGCCTAACAATATCATACACTTGTTATACTGCACATTATTGAGGTCCCGTCTGCCTATTTAGATGTAAAGATTCCAAGGCACTTTTGAAAAGAGAGGGGAGTTTCTCCTAATGATCTGCCCAGCAGTCCCTTAGATAAAATTGGTCTTTCACTTCATAGCTGTTTATGAGACATTGCAGTACACAAATTCGCTATTGCTTTTACCTACTTCACAGAAAATCCTCCTGATGTGAAAGGCGCAATATGAAATGCAAAGGTTATTATTATAATTTATTTGGATTGAAGATCCAACTCAGGTTGCCTAAAATCAGGAATACAAGTGTCATGATAGGTGATGCAATGCTTGGGTTTTAAAAGCTTGTACAATTTTAATGTGGTTCACTAGTGAGAGCCTCAGTAATAAGTTGCTGTCACTTTATGTCTCAGGTGGCACGGCGCTGGGGAATCCAGAAGAATCGACCTGCCATGAACTATGACAAGCTGAGCCGTTCACTCCGCTATTACTATGAGAAGGGCATCATGCAAAAGGTAAGTTCAATGCAGTCTTTCTGATGCTGGTGAGTTATCTATGCACTGAATCCCATTTACACTTTGAAAACATGCATTCCACTCCCCCAGTGGCTAACTGCTTGCTCAGTGTGATACAATGATTATTATAACCTTTATAACCAGCGCAGAGAGTAGACTTTCATCCCATTAGGTTCGGTTTGCTTCAAACCCAGGTCCCAGAGGTGAAAGGACAGCATGCTAAATCACTGTGCTGTCCAAAAGCATTGGCTGAATTCACAGCAATACCAAACTAGTACTGAATTTTCCTGACTCATACACTTTCCGATTGGCATCAAGGGACAGAAATGTTGCCTAAATGTGGGATTTCTTATGGATCCACACAGTGACACTCCAGCAGGAGATCTCTGTTGAGCTGCTTTCTCAGTAAGGGACTGAGCCAAAATGGCAGATCTCTTCAGGGAAGAAAAATATCGGTGAACTTGTGAATACCTCTTATGAGGTAAAGATGAGTTTTTCTTCATATGACTCAGACAAGGGAGTGCTTACACTTTACTTTCGCTTTGAGTGGAACAGACTGCAAGACAATTATATTAACTATTTGGAGTAATAGCACATTGTATATTCAAATATCCTTATATTGAATAAGCAGTAGATATGCATATTTATCTGTCTTTAAATCTCACCTAAAAACCTACCTATTCAACTGTGCCTATAGTTAATTCCGCCCCCTCCTCCCCCTTCTCCATGGCTTGGCATTTGTCCCTGTCTTAAATGCAAGTTGCTGCGTAAAAGGCAAGGATTATTATTGTTGTTACTTAATTATTCTGGTTTGAGAGCAGTCGCCTGTATATTGAAGGAAAAATTAATGTTTTAAAAAAATGTTATTTTCCTTTTCCCAGGTCGCTGGAGAAAGATATGTGTATAAATTTGTATGTGACCCGGAGGCCCTCTTCTCAATGGCGTTCCCAGATAACCAGAGGCCAGTGCTGAAAACTGACATGGAGCGCCACATTAACGAGGAAGACACGGTCCCTCTCTCTCACTTTGATGAGAACATAGCCTTCATTCAAGATAACGGCTGTTGCAATTCCCATCCATACAATGAAGCCTATGTGTACTGATGCAGCCACGTTGGGGGCCATCGCTTTCCTTTTCCCTTTCTTTTATTTTCCGTAGACCATGACCCAAGCAGGATTTACTCATCTCTTCAGCATCTTTGACATCAAGCAGAGGGTCCAGAGTTTCTGTCGCATTACCCCCATGGTTGACCACCAGGGACAGTGCACTTTATGAAAAGACTCATTGGAGTTCTACATGTGATTTTTGTTTCATTTGGGGGTGGGAGTGGTTTACATTTTTTGCCTAAATGTTCTTTTTTGGAGGAGGGGGTTTGGAAATTTACAGATGTTTCAATAGATTATGCTATCTTATAGATTTTTGTTTCATATCAGCTAAAAAAACTTACTAAGTCAAACTTAAAGGAATTCTGCTAATGTCAGTAATAAGAGAAATTGCATATCTAATATTGCTGTGTTAATGCAGCCAGCACTCTTTAAGAATCTATATCTAAGTAGGTACATAGTACATTTTTGTCAGGGTACACATTAATATACAGTCAAGCCTTTTACTGCTGTGTTATATTTGTTAAAAATATATGAATACTAGAGTATGCTGAGGCTTCTGCTGCAGTCTCCTTTTCTGTAAATTCTTTTAAACGCAGGGTTTATTAAAGCAATTTGGAGCATTACTGTAAGTACAGGTAGTTTTTCAGGACAAAATAGATGACTTGAAACATTTACTGCTTAGAATGTAGTTTATGCTGTAGTTATACAATAAGCAACTGTATGCTTTAGCCATTGGTAAATGATTATCCACCGACAAGTTGCTAAGGGAAGTTTTTATGTGGAAGGTTTTTTCTGGATAAATGGAAACTCACCTGATATGACCTGTCAATAGCAACATTTCATTAGCATGCACTTACTTCAGATTTAGAGCCCAGGTATTGAAGCAGTCCTGTCTTGTTACACTTAGCATCTTCATCTAATCTGGCGAATTAGGGCAGGTCACATTTTTATAGTTTGTTAAACATTTTTTACAATGACTATCTTACTTCAGAAGATTACATTGAAGATACTGTTCTAGCAGAAACCTTGTCTCTCAACCCCCAAAAAGCTTTGCTCTCACCCCTCCCCAAAATCTCCCCCCTCCGCGGGGAGAAAATTTATTGTGAAATTGAATTAAGGATCACACTTGTATATAGAACGTTTTTGTCTCTTACCCACCCTCCATTTTTATCATTGCTGTTTTGTTTAAAATAAAATGTATCTAGATATATATCTAGAAGTTGCAGCTGGTGTATAAGTTGCTCCCCTATTTTTAGAAGACGTGAAGCTGTAGTATACATCACCAGATTTGATGGCACTTGTATTCTCTAATTTCAAGTAGAGTAACAAATTTGAAGACAGTAACGCCACAGGAGATCCAAGGGATTAGTTTCACTAAGCTAAAAAGGGAGGTGTTTCTAATCAATGTACTGTGTATATAATATATATATAAAATATGTTTCCTGGAGCTTGACCTTTTCTTCTATTTAGTAACAATTTTTACTGCCACCTTTAGCTTTTAAAGAACTCTTCAATAACCGTGTACAGCCCTTCTCTGAACAAAGGTGATCAGTCCATAATATTCTGGCAGTGTGGTCCAAAGACCTTTGTCAGCCAACTACCTTTAATAATCCCTAGTATCATTTCGGTTCTATTTGTTTCCTTTGTGCATCTGAAATGGTTTGTGAGTTTCAGTAGAAGCTGCAACCCGGAGATTTATGTAACCCTTTCTATTCACTGCGATGCTCTGTAAGTGAAAGTTACAGTGACATATTTTTAGAACATTGATCCAGGTCCATTTAAAGTATAAACTAGAAGCATGTTTTCTGCTAGCTAGACACCTCTTCTTTACTGGGTGTGTTTACTGGATACTGGATGTATTTACATCATGTAGCTTTGGACTCATGAATCACCACAAAAATGTGTTGTAATCCTGTTGTGTGTCCAAATTACATTTGAAGTGAGCAAGTTCATCCTAAAGTGAGACAGTGCTAAATAGATGTTGTAATTGACAGTCCACTTGCATCCACTCCTGTCTTAGAGATTTTATTAAAGGGCCAATCTTCAACTATAATCTGAATTTCAATGGTGATGATTTTAGGATATTAATATAACCTGTTGTCCTACTCTTTTTGATTCTCAATTATATTCTTGGTAATTCTTGTTAAGGTCAATCATTGCCTGATTCACCTGGCACAAGTGCTGAATAAGTGTAGATCTGGCCCATGTTGCCCTTAGTGTCCATTGCCTTCAAATGGTACTTTCTGGGGCTTGTTTGGGGCATATTGTTTTTATGTAAAACCGATGGCAGAGATTTCACATGAAATTCATTTGAAAGCTACAAGCTTCTCTGATTCAACACATCAAAGGTAATCCTTGCAGTGCAGTGCAAAAAATATTCCTATTCAAAGCTTTATACAAAGTAGGGCAGTGTCCTTCTGAGGATGATGGTTAAGGCACATGTTGGTGTGGAGTACAAAGAGCTTTATTCAATATCTGGTCCATGTCGGCACTGGCATCCCTCATTTTGAGGATCACATCATAAAATTATCCATTTTACAGCCTCTTTTGATGGCTTGGTGAGTAAATGGATTGTTTGCCGGGAAAGATAGCCATGCACAGCGGGAGGCTTTCTGGTTCGCTCTCTGATCTGTGGTGAGTCAGCCAGTCCCATTCAGAACAGTGGTGAGTGGTGTGCCCCTTGGATATCAGTCAGGATCCTCATTTCTTATCACTATCCAGCAACTTCTGCTGGAAGCATCTGCTACATTTCAATAAATTTCCAGGAGCACTTTTGAATCTCAGCTGGTTGCTAAATTATAGAACACTTACTGCCAATATAAGGACAGAATGGGGCTGGAGTGTGATGGCTTCGATAGCCATGTTTTAAGAATGTTCAGTTGTGCGAGGTGTAAGAAAGCGCTGGTTTATGTGGAACTGTAGCACAAACCAGTCCCCTCAGGAGAGGAAGAGTAAAGGGAGCCGGTTTGGTAGTATTATAGCCTGACTTATTTTCTCTTTTGCTTGCTCATCTCCTAAGCCTCTTTTGGTTACTCTTTCCCACTCTATCTTGCTCACCGATGATTCTCAATTTTCGTAGACAATAACATTTCCAGAAACGTTCTGGTAGTGAAACAATCAATTACACTTTAATGTAAAAGTACTGAACCTTTCTTCAATTACATTTGCTCTACTTTGTCCAGGAAATTGTTTTCTTTGTAAAGGTTTACTGCATGAACACGTCCCTGATGCACGAATGACTTTTAAGACATTAGCGCATTTGTTTTTGAAACTGTTCCCTTATTGTTGCATGATGTGCCCCTTGTGCCAGCTCTGTCCTGTGTCTGGAGCCCCTTTGCCTCCAGGTTTGTGCTGGGTGAAGCAGGTTTTGCATTGAGGAAATCTCAAAATAAAGTGGAGGCAAAAGACACAGCCTGAAGAAAGTCACTTGGAAACCTAATGTAGCAAAAAAAAGAAAAAAAACACAACGTTGAGGGACATCTGTAAATGATGGACAGTATTTTTTCTGCTGTTTCTGAGAAATTTTCTAAATTTTTGTAATTTTGTATTTATCATGTATGTTTTGGTTTTATATGGCCAAAAAGTAGCATCTGGATTAATAATGTAAACCTCATTGTTGTTTAATTTTCCTCAGCTATGGCTTAGAGCTGTTTGAAGGGTCCATGGTTTTCCTGTTGTATTGCTTTTGGATTTTTTTTTGCTTTGAAGAAAAAAATGTAATAGTATAATAAACTGTTCAATTCTTAAGGAAATCTGAGCTATATTGTTTCAAACAGAGCATTCTGGGAATGTGTTATTTCAATATTTTCCACATTTGGCTTCTGTGTGTGAAATTTCACCTACACTGAATGGTTCAAAGGTTCTGCCAAATGGTTCTGCTTTATGTCCTTATGTTTATTTCCAGCACAGATGTAAAAAGAATCTCGTGATTTTATAGTATGAATTATTATTACTATTATTATGATCACTTGCTGCCATCCAGGTTTTGCAACTTTTAGTGGTCAACATATAATAACACTTAAAGCAGTCAATAAATGAATGTGACATAAAGTCAGCAGGTTTGGTAGACAGATGCTTAGCACCACAAAACCTTACAGCACACAAGAAAGCCATTTAGACCATTGTGTCTGTACTGGCTCTTTGAAAGAGCAATCCATTCAGTCCTATTTATCTGCCTTTTCTCCATACCCCTGCAAATTACTCCTTTTTAGATATCTAATTCCCTCTTGAAAGCTAATATGGATTCTGACTTCACCACCACACCTGGCAGAGCATCCTACATTGTAACAACTCTGTGTAAAAAATGGTCCTAATCTTCTCCTTTGCTCCTTTGTTAATGATCTTAAATTGATGTCTTCTGGTCACTGACCCAGAGACCAGTGGAAATAATTTCTCCTAATTGACTCTTATCAAAAGACTTCATAAATTAAGGACATAGAACCAGTTTCCACACATAAGTCAAACTGCTTATCCCGGGTATCATCCTAGTAAATCAATGCACCCTCCTTGCAGCCCTAACATCCTTCCTAAACTGGGATGCCCCAAACTGGACAACACTGTAACTGCAATCTAACAAACAATTTGAATATGACATACGTTGCACAAATATAAGAATGCGACCTTCAATTCCTAATTCAGTGAGCGGGAGGGGCTAGTGGAAGAGAGAGTACATTTTTTTCATATATGTACTATAAGGAATGCTGAAGAATGAAAACCATTGAAGCAGAATCCATTACAGCTTTTTAAAAGGGAAGTTGACAATATTTAAAAGATGAATATTAAGGGGGATGGAGAAAGGTCAAAGTAATGAGAATAAATGGGTAGCTCTTTCAGGGAGCTGGCATGGACACACTGGGCCGAATAGCCTCCTTCTGTGATGAAAATACTGTAAGATTGTAGAGATATTCGTATCATGTTTCACAGTTCACAAGATATTGCAAACACTCACATGTGAAAATATTAGCGGTGGAAAGCTTTCTTGTTTATATAAAGATTTTTTTTAAAAAAATGAAATGTTTTTAATTGCACAGCTGCATAGAGTTTTATTTGTCTTTGACTAAACACAGACCTCATCTAACATAGCTCCTGGTTGCTCTCTTTTAAGCAGGACAGTTTTGCTGTTGATAGAGAGCGACATGTGAAAGGTACAGCTGGGAGAAATTCCATCTGGGCTGAGATTTACTCTCATTTAGGTATCGTTTTAGTGTGTGCAGAGGTATAGAAAAGCAGTTTCGAAGAAAAGACTGAATTCAACAATTTGTCAAATGCTGTAGGCTCTCGGATCCTACATGAATAAATAGGGTGAAAATAGGGAGTATTTCCCCCCTTCAACCCAGAATCGGTAGAGCCCATCTGAAGGAGAGCGAAGACAGCTATTGTATTCATAAAACTGAACGCAGAGAGCAGAATGAACAGGTTTATCTGCCAGAGTTCCTTTAACAGCTGCAAAAATAAACGCAAAGAAAAAGTATCAGGCCTGATTTTTTCCAGTTTATGATATATCATAGCAAAAGAAAATCTGAATGGATTTACATCCATATTTACCATGGTAAACATTAATTTCAGCAAAAGCTGGATTTCTTCAGCATCAAAATCCAACTTAGATTGTACTCAAAGAGGAAACTTGCTTTCAATATAGACTAACAATGTGATTAATTATTTTCAGTTATCTGCCAAGCTTCAGAGTATTTGGATGAATAGCCTCTCCTTGGATAGACTGCCAAATGTTAACACATTTGTGTGATCTACCTGGCAGGATCATGATGTTACGAAAAACCTGCCCCAATATCTCTGCTACACACCGCAGTCTGCTTCGACATTCTCCTCTATACTTCACAAAAAACGCCTCTCAGTATTTATTCTTTGGTTTAAGATTTAGAGCTCTCTGACCTTCTCGCTCCCCAATCTACCACCCGGCGCCTCCGCTCAACTGGCACTGGCCTCCTGCTTGTCCCTCGCATCCTCCGCTCCACCATTGCAGGTCTTGCTTTCAGCCACTACTCCCCAAAACTGTGGAACACTCTTCCTCAATCCCTCTGCCTTATCCCCCTAATTCCCCTTTTGAAGTCCCGCCTGAAAACCTTTCTTTTCAACCGTGCTTATGGTCACCACCCCACCCCTCCCGGTTTGGAATCAGGCTACACCACTGTTAAGCGCTCTGAGACGTTACCCTGCGAGGAGGGCGCCATATAAGTGCATGTTGTTGTAGAGCCTAGAGTGGAAACAAAGATAGTTTTTCACTAATACCTTCCCTCCATTCAAATGATGTTGCAGATGATTTTTTTTTTAACAAAGAAAATAAATTCACTTCGGCAAATGAACTGAATGCAGTTTAGACCATAATAAAACTGAAAGATAATTAAAATAAAAGATAAACTTTCCACCTCAAATAGCACCTTTGATGTCGCGGGATTTACTGTGAAGCGCAGTGACTATTTTGTAAGTGAAAGTGGCAGTCAATTTGCACATAGCATTGGCCAACAAACAGTCATGAAGTGAATGAAGAAGATGGAGCTCATAATAATAATAATAATAATAATAATCCTTGCATTTGATATAGCGGCTTATCATGTCTTCGAGATGTCACAAAGCACTTTACAGAATATACTGTAAAGTGAATTGACTGCATATTTTGTGGGCGAAACATAATTCTATTGAAATCTCACAGTAATGTCACCTGTAATAAGTATGTTGGCCCACTAGCCCCTTTATTACACTTTAAAGCTGTAAGGATTAAATGTAAGGATCATTATCTCAGCTCACATAAATGAGGCTTTAATTGTTTCAGAGTTGAGTTTTAACACACTACCCAGCTCTGCAATGTGTTCAAGTCTTGCTGTGTGGTTTGAAACACAACCTTATGATTCAGCAACAAGACTACTACCAAATGAGCCAGGTTGACACCCTTTCTACTTTGAAAGACTTCCTCTTTTCAAACAATTATCCGTCAACAATGGTGATATTTCCCAACTCGTGATAGTGGTTATACTGGTGGCTGTAACTATTCATGTTACATCATGCAGTTGTTGCTTGAATATGATTAAAAATCAGCTTCATAATTAGGATGGATTTCCCTCCCAAAGTAGTGGACTCCCAGCAAATAGATGTCTCATTTGAAGGACTGTATCATTATTCAGATGATGTCTTTCCTCCAGATGAAATGTTAATGTGGAGCTCTGAGTTTATGGATCCACTTTTACTGCACTTTGGATATGTTCCAAATCTATGGGGCACTCTTGTGAACAATGAACCTGCACTAAACCAGAGTGCCTTATAATGGGGTCACACTGTTTTGGTATTGGTGCAGATTAGCTACCTACATACAAGTTCAATAGTTGATAACTCTATGTCCTGTGGTGGTGAGGGCCGTCATATTCTCCGTTTCTCTGTAAAATTATGAACCTGACTGATGTGAAATTACAATAGGAAAACACTTTATTTGTTGTAACCCAATATCAGCATTACATTTTCCCAAGTCGAATATAATGCAACCAGCTGCAAAGTAAAACTCTTTTAGTACTGTTCCTTAACCAACCTCAGAAGACTACTTATTTCTGCGTATGAATCTTTCCCAGAACTCAGCCACTACGCCCCAAGACTGTGGAACTGTCTGCCTCAATCCCGCCCCTTCCTTTTCCATCTTCAGATCACACCTGAAGACTTTCCTCTTTGACCATGCCTACCATCATCTCCCCTCTCTCCCTGGCTCAGCGTCAAGCTCCACCACTGTTAAAGGCTTTATCCTGCATAAAGACGCTATATAAATGCAAGTTGTTGTTTTTATAATTATGCTATCATTTCATTTTTCCAGGGATCTTATCAAACTTTATATTCCACTGGTTAGGCATTCAGTGGTCATGGCTGACTTAGATCTCTGAAGTTGTCACTTCATCATTGTTTTAATAAGAATGATAAATAGATGATGTGGGGGAATTCTTTTTAATCAGCTACTTTCATTCTGAAACCAAAATCCTAACAGGTAGGATTGTTGCAAGCAGCAGAAAACTTGCTGACAGTGGCAAGCTATATGGTTTAGTTGGTTAAACTCTCATCCATCTATATCTTTTATGCTCTGAATTTCAGAAAGCAGGGTGTGTTCCTCCATAGAGAGTAGGCATTCCATTCCAAACACAGGAAAATTTACCTAGTCGGGAAATAGAGATAGCATAAAGTATAGATAGCATAAATATGTGGAAATCTTAGTCTGGTTGAAACTATTTTTTTCCATGCTGGGATTAGAAACATCATCAGCATTATATAATTTGTAACAGGAAAGAAAATGGAGGCAAATAAGTAATGCAATGAAAAAGCCAGGACCTCCACCTGAGTTTAATTTTCTATTAAAGACGACAGTCAACAAAATCAGGAGGTTCGCTCTGCATAAATATCTGCTGTGCAAATCCATTTCACAAGTAAATCTACCAAATATAAAAGTGTGAAGTTTGTTTGAAAGTTCAGGTTTCACAAGTGACTGATTGAAGTGTGTCAATGTAAAGGAGGAGTTAAAAGTGGTTGTTTGTTTTTGTAGTTCCAAATGAACAAGGCCTTTAATTCAAACTGGTGTTTGTGCATTGCCAGAATAGCCCTGCACTTCAGGGTGTTAAACAGGAAATCTGGAATAATTTATTCTGGCATTTGGTAACTGAATCCAGCTGGTTTTAACCGGCTGTATTGCTCAACTTGCCGGGTGAGAGCTCAGAAGCTCATGCCAGCAACACCACATCAGATGATTTATTTCGAGCCTAAGATTGAAAGACTAAGATATAAGTTTAAC